GGTCAAGGGTTCGAATCCTTGGGATTTTGATTTTTTGTTTTTTGCTTTATGCCCTTAAACCCTTAAAAACAAATTTTAAGTGGTTTTATATTACTTTTTAATAGTTTTTCTTTTTGAAAAGATCTAAACTACATCTACAATTTAGTTTCACATATGAACTGATTTTGTACATACTATAATTAATTTTTTAATATACTTATGAATTTTAAATGTAAATTAATTCTAACTACATGCTTGATCATTTCCTTAGTTGATTCATTTCTATATTGACATAATATTGGACAAATGAAAGATGTCATGTGATAAAATTATTTCTAACAAAGTAAAATTTAATAAAAAATGATATCATAATGTTTCGCCAAGAGAATATTTTGTATTTATAATTTATTTTTCAATTTTTTTCTTAATTTGATTAGTCTAATGTTTCTAGTGATTTTTTACTTAATCCATAATAAATTCGTCCCCACTCGCGTATTTTTCTGGTTACGTCACTGGTTGTATCCATTCTGGAAGTCTAAATAAATATGGATTATTCCCTAAATAGGATTAAATAAATCATTAATAGCTAGAATAGGAGTAATATTTAATATTTTCCCAAATAGGAGCTATTTTTTGGAGTTGCATACAAATACCATCAAGCTTGTCAAAACAGGATATCGGACCTCCGCTGGTTGGCGGTCGCCTGTCGCCGGTCGCCAGAGAATTGACCACCGATGCACATTTGGTTGCCGCCGGTTCTGATTTGGCAATCACCGCCGTAGATCTGGCCACCACCACTGTAGATCTAGCTGCCTCTGTCGTAAATTTGACCACTGCTACAGATTCGGCCGCCGCCTATGCGGATCCGGCATCCGCGAGTGTAGATCTCACAGTCGCTGTCACTGATGCTGACAATATTATACGAATGCCAACATGCAAAAAAAAGTGCCATGTTAATGGCATATTCAAAAGAAAAAATGCATGGCATTTTTGAAGAGTTAAAATGCCAATTTAATGTCATTTTTGAAGAGTTAAAATGCTATTTTGATGGCATTTTTAAATGAAATTTGGCATTTTGATAAAAATCAAACCAAATGAAGAAGATGAACATCAAGTGTTTGTCATCGTCGATTGCATCTAAACATACGAAGAAGGGTAAAGAGAGAAACGGAATACAGACACAGGGAGAACAACGTGCTCAACGCTCGCCGCCGCTCGTCGACGTTCCTTCACCGCTCGTCACTCGCGGTCACTCGTCACCACACCTTCGCCGATCACGTCGCTCGCAGTTGCTCACAGTGCTCCTTGTGGCAGAGTTACGCAGGTACGAGTAGAAAACAAAGAGGTGCGCAGGTGTGAGTAGAAACAAGGGTGTTGCATGATAGAATAAAATAGAGGGGTAAATTGGTACAATAGTTCTATTTAAGGAATAAAAATATATTTAGGGAATAGTCCTATTAAGGAATTTAAGCAACAATTTAATCTTATTTTGGGCAAAAAACTCAAATAAATAATATCTACCACACAACATTGCAATTAAAGAAATACTCTGTATAAACATTATCTAAGTTTAATTTGTAATTACCTACTTAGCTTGGTGTTATTTCTCTTGTAGTTAAGCCGATATCAAACTCAAATATGTCTCTCATGTTAGGATATTTTTACTGGGACTGAACTTTGACGTTCTTGTCTGTTCTGGTCTAGTGTAGTAAAGATTTGGTCTATTTGTATTTTGTAACTATCCAAGTCTGGTCTGATCTGAACTAGTCTGATTTTGTGACTCCGATCTGATCTGGGACTAAAAACAGTCCAAGTAAAAACATCTTTACTATAATATGGCTATACTCAAAGTAAAGAGCTCCTTGTGCGCAATATGATTAATATGAGGAAAAGGGTCAGATAGGTCCTCAAATTTACATAAAATACTCAAATAAGCCCTTAATTATATAGGAGGTTCTGTCCGGCCGTCGTCATTTGGGGCGGTTCTCGGTGGATTTTTTTGATGAATTTTTTTAGCATCTTATGCATTGCCATTAAGTCTGGTTTACTCATATCAAATTTCAACTAAAACGTCAATCGAGAAGGCATTCAAATGAATTAAGATAACTGCACAGTTATCTTCAAGAATTCATTTGAATGTCAAAGTAAATACCACACTTAATCATAATGGTAGCCCTGACAGATATATATTTATAGAGAATAAATGTCATAATTACAAAGAGAGTCCACCAAATAAATAATTATAAAACTACTCTATTACACCCCCTCAAACTGTGCAGGAGAAACAATGCGCAGATTGTCACGTAAAAGAGTAAAACATTGTGGATATAAAGACTTGGTTAAAATATCTGCCAGCTGAGCCTGAGTAGGAACATATTGCACACGAAGATCACCATGAGCCACCTGTTCCCGAACAAAATGATAGTCAATATTAATGTGCTTGCTTCTGGCACGATGAATAGGAGTAACAGATAGATATATATGAAGTGGATATATTATCACAGAAAAGTGTAGTAGGATCACGAACGGGAAAGCCCAACTCAAACAAGACAGATTGAACATGGAGAGTGTCTTGGACAGTGAATGCAATAGTGCAGTATTCAGCTTCAGTAGATGATCAGGAAACAGTGAGCTGCTTCTTGGAATGCCAAGAGATCAAATTAGGCCCCAGAAATATTGCATAATCGGATGTGGAACGACCTGTATCAAGACACCCAGCCGAGTCCGCATCCGAGTAGGCAATGAGAGCCGGTCGTGCATGAGAAGCTTGGAGAAGAAGCCTGTGAGTAGAGGTGCCCTGACGATACCTGAAAATACGCTTAACAGCCAACAGATGTGAAGTACAAGGGGCATGCATAAATTGAGAAACCAAGTGTATAGCAAAAGTAATATCTGGTCTAGTCAAAGTCAAATACTGTAAGGCACCTACCATAGTTCTGTACTCCGTAGCATCCGCAATTGAATGCCTTCTCGATTGAAGTTTTAGCTGAAATTTGATATGAGTAAACTAGACTTAATGAATATGATGCTCAAAAAATTTCATCAAAAAATTCCACCGGGAAACACCCCAAATGGCGACGGGCGGACAGAGCCTCCTATGAAAGGGCTTATTTGACTTTTTTATTTATGTTCGAGGGCCTATCTTACCCTTTTCCCGATTAATATGGTATTGACATAGTAGATCCAGGCGCTTTTATTCACTTTTAACATGCTTTCTAATAAGGTATGTATTGCCCTTGCGTAATTCCTAATTCAGAAGTACAAATTCTTATAACAAGATTCAGGCCTATACAGATCTGCCCCTGCATCCAACACAATAAGCTTATAGCAAGATTAAGGCTAGATTAATGCTAGATTGTTCACTAAGTGTATTGGGTAGAATTGCTTAGTGGAATCCATCTATAGGGTGGGATTGATGAGAAAGGATTATATCACCCTCTGAACGTGGATACATTTTTTGAGTCATTTAATATTAAGCACTCCCAAACAACCACCCACTATTTACATACCATCCTATAGACTTAGATTCTCAAGCTTGAAAGAGCCATATCATCTCATGCTCAAATAATTAAGCTCAGTCAATCACTTCCAGATAAAAATACACTGCACATTCGTTTAACTTTCCTTAATGTGAATACTATACAAAATCCAAATAGTTCAAACAATAAAAAGAACAGCAACCTTAACAGCAACCTCATTCAGTCACTAGTAGGCTGCTGCCTACTAGTGACCCCACTGTCAAGCCCGTCGTTAAGACAACTATTTATTTTTAGGTGGCATGGTTTGCTATTCCTTACTGCTTTACACAAAAATCATACAACCTCTTATCATACTTCACAGACAGTGTTTAAACCCAATGTCAAAGATCACCACAAGAAAAAAGTTTACACACACTAACTGGTTTCAAAATGAAAAATACTTTTGCATAAAATCTGATGTTTAACTCAACAAGTTTCATGACTGCATAAAATCTGATGTTTAACTCAACAAGTTGCAAAAAAAAAAAACAAGACGAATTGGGCCAATCCTGAACGGCCCAAACAAGACAGCAGACCAAGCCCTAAAGTGATGAAGCCTGAAGCCCTGAAAGTCTACAGAAAAGACCCCTCGTCTCATTCCCTCATCGCGACCCGCAACACCCTACGCAGACAGCAGTGCACATGCAACAACACAGACTCTCACCGTCTTGATTGCGGAGCAATGCTGACCGCCGAGCCCGCCACGGCACTGACAGGCGACAATCGATCATCCTTTAGCTAGTCTGCCGCCGCACGCGGTATCCACCGTTCGCCATCCATAATTAAATATTTGATACCGAGTATTTGATTATTGAATATCTACAATTCTTTCAAAAATAGTGTAAAATAGTTAATGATTTAATGTGTTATGTCTATTAAATTGTGCCCCGCTTACATTTATTTCTAGTTCCGCCACTACGTATATATGAATATGAATTTATTTACACATTTTTTGAGAGTCAACGTTATTGACTTATTTTAACGACTTTTTGAATGATTTTTATATACATTATCAGAAAAAACGTGTAAATTTTAAACCTTGTTTAATTCTCATATATATCATATGTAATTAACTAACCAAGCTCTTAGTATCATCGTAATAGGACAAAATTGAACAATTTGATTCCAGATTTTATTTAAAAAAAACATATTGAAAAATTGAATTAAAACCTGACTGAAACCGGTCTGAAACCGGTTTGAAACTGGTAACGGAATCGATCTTTCCAGGATCCAGAATCAAATATCTAAGTATCTAACTTTAATTTAACTCTTGTAAATGTTAATTTCATTAAGTACGACGCAGAACGTTTTTTTATTGTTTATTTGTTTTCAATTACATAATACGGAGTATGATAATAATGATAATGGAATTTGCTAGAGGAGATTAAATATGATAAAACAAATAAAATACCAATAGATTTGGGTCAAGAGACCCTGGGAAGGCGCGATAAATTAATAGTCAAACATATATGTAGTATATACCAAGTACTCCCTCCGTCCCACTAAGATTGTCCCATTTTACCTTTTCGGGAAGTCCCACTAAGATTGTCTCATACCAAATTTGGTAAATATTGTGTGACTCTAAATCATTCTTACTTTATTCTTACTTTATCAATTTAATATCAACCACACAAACCCACATTTCTTACTAATCGTGCCACATTCTTCCGTCCCAATCTTAGTGGGATGGAGGTAGTATACAACTACATATACAATCAGTGGGCTGCCCAGGCCATGCACAAAAAATATGAATTGAAGTACATGCAGAATCAGCAAGCTAAGAAAATTGTTCCATTTCCTGAGCTGGAGAATCTGTATGTTCTTGTCTTGCTTTACCCAAACATGCGAGTACTCGTTGTATTAAAAGCAAACACAGTAAAAATGATGTTATAACAATTATTGCTATAATGCTGTGGCGCAGATGGCGTGAAGGTCTACTCTTCCTGCGGATGGGCTTGGATATGGAAATATTTATTGGTTGAGAGCCTGCAGCAAACACAGATTAAAATTAAGGTAAGGACGACATAGGGTTAGAATATGAACAATTATTTGAGATACTAACATATCATTAGTTCCTATTCGCATACCTTTAATTTAAAAATAACAATTGCCCCAAGTATTAAGTAAGACTTAAGAGCTAAATTACATGGTTAAAGTTTCTAAATAGGAATCCAAGTTTTATATTTATATTCTCAAAATAAGACTAAACATTACATTTGTCCCTTAATATAATTAATTTCTCTTAGTTTCCCCTGATCCCCATATACCTAGGGCAGTTTGTTGGTGGTGACTGTCCGGAGGTGGTGGTTGGGCGACCAGCATCCGTGGCAGTCCCATGAACTAGCTAATTTGTAGGTATTTGCAGGGGCGGATCCAACGTGGGGGCAGGGGGGCAGCTGCCCCCACTCAACCCCCACCCAACCCCTATATATATATCAAATTTAAAATTTTATATGTTGATAGTTATTAAATATATAAACTTATACATTATAAACGAGATTAGTAACAAGAAGTAGCGGCAGTAGAGTGGTGTTGTATTCTAAGCGTTTATGCAGTATATGCAGGTTGGTCATGGGTTCGATTCACGGCTTCCGGTTTTCATTTGAGTTTAACATTAGTAGTTCTAAGCTCTAATTTGATTTCCCTTGAAAAAAGATCTAGACCAATTTATAGTTATTTTAGATTTTGGACAATTGTATTTAAATTATGACTAGTTTAAACTACTTCAATATAATTTTTAACATATAATTTGTTAAGTTTAACAAGTATGCTTTTTACATTCAATATAAATTGATTTTTAAATATATTTTTGCATTGACAATTTAAGTTAATTCTAAATAAATATTTGATTCATTTCTTATTTAATTTGATTCTCATTACTAACAAAATTTTGAATAAATTTCATGAAATTTAAGTATGATATGGTAATATTTTTATCTCACGAGTGTTTTTATTTATTTATTGATTTTACACTATTTTATACAATTCATTTTCTTGATATGATCATTATTTGCGACATGTGTGAAATTATATTCAATGCGAACCCGCCCCCACTCACCGGAATTTCTGGATACGCCACTGGGTATTTGTCCAATTCACCCGACTATTCTTTAATGGAAAAGTTCCTGAAATAGAACTAAAACAGTTTGAAAATTCCTAAATAGGACTACCATGTTTTTTATTCCTAAAATAAGAGTAAGTACTGCCAAGTTAGGAAAATAATGAAACGTTTGAAGTCTGGTACTGACAAAACAAGGCAATAATCAGTCATATTTTGGGAATAAAAACATAGCAGTCTTATTTTGGAATTTTCAAACCTTTTTAGTCCTATTTCGCGTAATATTCTTTAATGATAATTCAATGATCCCCAAATGTATCATACTTAGTCCATATGGTTATTTTAGAACGTTAGAGTTAGATATTTCAAACCTATATAAAATGTGATGTTAAAATGACTCGAATGGTATGTAGAAAGAATCACCAAAACACGGGAGTATTCGTTCTGACATTCCAAAAAACGGGAGTTCCTTTTAGGTTACCAAATACCGTAAGTCGGAATTGGGCATTCCGACTGGAGATTAGGGTTACAAAAACCTGACACACAAGCCTGTCGGAATTGGGAAATCCGACAGGAGAGCTTTAATAAAGCCAACTACCTAGTCGGAATTGGGGAATCCGACTAGGGTATTTTTTTTTAAAAAAAACTGGCAGCCTTTAATAAATCGGATAAATCCCATATCAAGCCAACTACCTAGTCGGAATTGGGGAATCCGACTAGGGTATTTTTTTTAAAAAAAGTACTACCTAGTCGGAATTGGGGAATCCGACTAGGGTATTTTTTTAAAAAAAAAAGCCGCTATTTTAATTGGTACTCCATCCGTCCCCAATTAAATGTCCCATTTTACCATATTGAGATGTTCCTATTTAAATGTCTCATACCTGATTTGGTAAAGTTTGTGTGGCTCAAAATCATTCTTACTTTATTCCTACTTTATCAATTAATATCAACCACACAAACCCACTTTTCTTAAAATTCGTGTCACCCTCTTCCGGGACTTTTAAAAGGGGACGGAGGGAGTATCTCGTAACTCTATAAAAACCATTCATTTCTTCTCAAAATTTACAAACACACTCCAAAAACACTTCTTTCTTTCTTAACATACCATTCCCTCATACCCACTTCTTTCTTTCTTTAACATACCATCCCCACATACCATATTCACTCCAAAAACACTTCTTTCTTTCTTAACATACCATTCCCTCATACCCACTTCTTTCTTTCTTCAACATACCATCCCCACATACCATATTCACTCAAAAACACTTTAATATATTCATTACTTTTTTGTTTACCACTCTTCTCTCATATTATATTTATAATATATACCATATATAAAAAAATGTCTAGTGAGGGTAATATTATTCTTATGGTTCATTGGAATGGCTCTACATCTCAAAAAGATGATGAAATAGAGTACTCCATACCTCCTAGGGCTGTACTATTCACTAGTGAAGGAGATGATTATACCACTATACATGAAAATGTTCTCAATCATGTTAGACGCGACGGATTTTCCGAAATTAAATTAATTTACGGAAAATTGCCGAAATATAAGAATTCGGTATATGTTGCTTCTAGATTATGGCCCATTCATGATGAGCGAACATGGCGTCATTTTTTCCGGATTGCCACAAATGAGTATGAGGAGTTGCACATTTACGTGGAAGCTTCAGCGACCCCGCCACAAAATTTGACGTTCCACGGAACTGCTGGAGTGGAAGGCCCATCATCAAGTCGGAGGAACAACCGCCAATCGTTTCAGAACCAGGAAACTCCCGGTATGTATAGTTCTATTTAATTTAGTAATTTGTAAATGTTTTACTTTAGATTGTTAAATTGGAATTTTAGAGTTAAATGATTATATAGCTTAAATAAATATGATAGGACAAATTAATAACCTATATTATATTTTTATTAAATGCATAGCACTTTTGCAACTAATGTGAGAAGACGTAATATAAGCTCACTTGTGCAACCGTCTCTTTTTCATTCATTTAAATAACTTATTTAGGCTATTTGTTTAATTTATACAAATATATGACACATACTTAATTGCACATATTTAAAGTGGTATATACACCCAAATATTCCATATATATCTCTTTAACTTATAATTTGCCTTAATTAGTTTTTTTAGGAACGTAGAAGTAGTAGATTTAGTAATTTGTAAATGTTTTTAAATTTATTTGTTAAATTTGAATTTTAGGGGTAAATTTAGCTATAAAATACTTGAAATTAGAAAGAGTGTTAAAATTAGAATTGAACTTAAATTTTGGTTGTAGGACTATAGACGTAGTTCATTTAGCAATTTGTAAATGTTTTCATTTAGATTGTTAAATTGTAATTTTAGAGTTAAATTTGACTATAAATTACTTGAAAGTTAGAAAATGTGTTAAATTGAGAATTTGCCTTAACTTTGCTTTTACGAGTATAGTTAATTTAGTAATTTTTAATTTTGTTTTAAATTTTTATTTGAGAAATTGGAATTTTAATTTAGTGTATAATATTATTCTTAATTTAATATGTGTACAAATTCATTAATGTCTTTAATGTAAATAATATGGAGTATTATGGTGTGGAAACTATAATTGATGTGGGATTTCACAAATTTAGATTTTTTAATGTAAAAAAATCGTTTTTAATCCTTATTTAACACATTAAAAATATCTCTTAAATAAAAAATGTAAATGTCTTTTTTAGTGCAAACGATATTTAATTTAACATAAATAAAAAATAAATTTTAATCCTGTCGGAATGCTCAAATCCGACTGGGAGTTTAAAAAAAGGAAAACTCTAGTCGGATAGGTTAATTCCGACTAGAGGGTGTTTTTTTGGAAATATTTAGTTTTATTTTTAAAAACTATATATATTAAATTTTATATATTACATTTTTTATTAAAAACTATATTTTTTAGTCGAGAAAAATTTGATTTTGTTTAGAAGTACTCCGTATTTATTTTAGTAATTTTGAACTCATTGATTTAGATAAAACAGACATTTTATAATATAACTCGGTTAAACAAAATCTAACACATTTAGTCATATGAATTCATTCAGATTCAGGTGAAGAGTCTGACGACCCAGACTATGAACAAGGTTTTTGTAGTGATGTCGATACAACCACGAGGGATGGTAATGACGAGACAGTAGACCCCACCTGGGCCAATCTAGAGCTAGAAGAACCATATGAGCTTGATTCTGAGCCTGAAAGGATCGAAGTCGGCGCAGTTTACCCTTCATATGATGCACTAAAAGAAGCGGTGGCGAGAGAAAACATTCGTCAGTTTCGTCAATTCCAATCGGTTGACAAAAGGGCACGGTCCTGGAAGGCGGTTTGCATAAACCCGACCATTTGCACTTGGCATATCCAAGCAGCAGCAGGTATGACTTCAACAAAGTGGAAAGTCAAAAAATATCAACCCCATCACAGTTGTAGGGAGGATCCTGTCACGTCTCGGGATGATAAGATCCTAACAGCCAAGCTCATAGCGAGTGAAATCGCTCCAAAAGTGAAAGTTGACCCAGACTACAGCATTAAACTGATAATGTCAGACATATATCAAAAATTTGATATCCATGTTTCATATAAAAAAGCTTGGAATGGACGCTTGATCGCTTAATTTTCAATACACATTGTTTTATAGTTCTTAAATTGTAAATTAAACTTTTTACAGTTTGATTTCATTCCCTACGCATTCGAGACACTTCCACCTCTCATCCTTAATGAAGCTCCGCTTTGGTCGGCTAGGGTTAAGCTCATATTTTGCAATATGGCCGAAATGCATTACCCCGATCGATTTCTTCGGCAGTTCCATATAAGGCAAGATATTCCGGATGCTCCTTTGATAGGTACTGATAATCACGGAAATTGTTCCAACATAGTAACCGGTGCCTTGGCGATGTGGGCGAACATACAAGATCACATATATTTTCTTGATTATGGTCAACTTATGTTCGTCGAAGCAACTAATAGGTACCGAAAATGGTACAACAAGCATGGTATGACACGTGTCCAGAACCCTTCTCACAATGTGCCCACGACAGGCTACACCCCGACAGCACACGATTGGGGTATTGTGGTAAGTTTTTGAATACATACCATATTCATTAACATATATCGTGTCATATTGTTTACATGTTAAAAATTTTTATGTAGAAACAAGGTGTTCACGAGATGTATCAGCTCATAGCCGATCGCGCGAGTTATGAGGACTTACACAAACGACTACAGCAGATGGCCCTGGACGTAGGTGATGAACAGATGCTCCACCGGGGCATATTCCATTATGAAGATGAAGATGAAGGTGGAAGTGACGAAGAGGATGATGCAGATGAACATGAAGGTGGGGGTGAGGACTCACCATCGCTCCCTCAATTCTCAACACATGGTGTCTCATTTGATCAACCACCCCCTAATTTCTCGACGCATCAAGGTGTCACATTTGATCAACCACCGCCGTATTATGATTCTTATCAGTTCTCTACGCAACCGGATGATTTTGTTGAGTCGTTTTTGAGTTCGTCATTTTACTATGGAGACCCAAACAGGCCTTGGAACACTGGCGGTGGGGACGGAGCAGGGCCGAGCGCACAACGTTAGCTGTAGTATTAAATTTAATATTATATGTACTGTCTATTCATTAATAAATTACATTGAAAAGTACATTCGTTTTGTTCACTTCCATTGAAATTACTAAAATTGCACTTAAAACACCATCGTAGTAGTACCTAATTTGAAGAATGAATTAAATCAAAATTACACTTCAAATTACTAAAATTGCAATTAAAACAAAATTCACAATACAGATGGATTAAAAAACAATATAAAGCAATCAAATGTTTTGTTACTCAAAGAATAAATGTGCTAAGTTTTCATTTTTAAAAATATCTAAAGAATCTAGAAAAAACTGTTTAAAACTAGTTTTTAAAACTCAAAATAAAAAAAAATACTTAAAACGGACGTGCCCCACTCAAAATAAAAAAACCGCAAAAAAAAAAATATATATTCCAGTCGGAATTGGGGAATCCGACTGGAGGGGGAAGCTTTTTTTCGGAAACCCTAGCACCTAGTCGGAACTCTCAATTCCGACTTACCTTTTTTGGTAAACCCTAGAAAAACCCCCGTTTTTTGGCAACCCCAGCACATATTTCCCGTCTTTCGGTAAAACACCCTGGTATGTATGCACTATAAGTATAGTCTGGGTCGGGGTATAGCTAGGGGCGTGGGAAATCTAGACCCGGACCAAGTGACCAACCCAAATTTCAATTTTGATTAAATTACTAAGGTAAAAAAAATCATGTAAAAAAAATCTAAAACTTTGTGTCGGCCCACCCCAATATACCACCGTTGGGTATAGTACTCTGTTTTACTAGCTAGGTAGCTACTGAGATACCATAGCAACCTTCACTTAATAGTGTGTGTATATTGTAATTATAATTTCCATGTGTATATTCTTGCTTCAAATAATATAGACTTACAATCATAATCTGTCCATCCAATCTGTTGGTTCAATAGGTCGTATACAACAATCTTGTCTTTCAAGATAAGATCTGAATTGACATTATTTACAACACAGAGAAAAATAACAAACTATCATTATGAAGGAATTATTTAGAATTCTAGAGACACAATAAATGAAAGCTTCATATATGTTCTTCATCATATTGAGTTTGCACCCGTTTTTTTTTTTTCACAAAATGTTATAGATAGGGTGCAAAGTCTAAAAATTTTGAAAATGTAGTTTAAATATCAATATCACTCAAAAATTAGGATGCAAACTCACAATTCCGCTTATAGTAATCTAGAGGAAGTTGGATAAAGAACATAATTAGAATAAAAGTAATTTAGGGATGAAAGACTAGAAAAACAAGGATGGTCTTGTTCAGAAATTATGTACTGTTTTTCCCTATTAAAAAATCACTTTAATATTTACCTCCTAAAACAGATACTCTTTCAGATTTCAAAAGTCCCAAGCACCAATGTCCAGCTCCATCCTACAGAAAATTAGAAAATGAAAATACTTATGGAACTAACACTTGTAACCATGGAAACAAATCTAATTATCTAAAATATTTAAAAATCAAATACTTCGTACAATAATAAGAACCACGGCTCATAAATAATTAAATGGATTATAAGTGAAGTCACAAATGAAAATGGGATACAATTGTGATCGATAGATTTTGCATTTTTCTGTGTTCATGTGTGTGGTACATGATCGATAATAATAGTACTACGTAAGCATTGTAAGCTAAAGGATTAAACTTATGTTGTTTTGATTTTAAATTAAATGATCGAGCATTATTCTGAATAATATTACATACTACGTACAGACTACGTATCATTTTGCGTCATATAAATTGGAACTCCGTAATACTACGTACAGACTACGTATCATTTTGCGTCATATAAATTGGAACTCCGTAATACTACAATATGAAATCCGTACAAATTTTAAAAATGGTATAAGAGGAGGCCGGTGGGATGGGACAGTTATCAAGTAAAATGAGTTGAAGTAGTTGAAATTGAATTCATAAAATTTATAAAATTTAGAATAAAGTAAGAATGATTTAACGTTAAAACGAGACTATTTTAGTAAGTCGAATAAACTTAGTGAGGTGGAGAAAGTATTTGACAATATTAATTAAATGTACAATACTTAACAGTTTATCACTAAAGAATACATAGTATAATTTACCACAGAATCTTGACGTATAAGGTAATCAATTGGCCTTAACGTCATTGAAGCACCTCCAGCAAAATTGAAACGCAATATTGGGAAAATAGAAAACACCCTGTCTCCAAAAATTAAGCACAGACCAATGTAATACCGAATACTCAAAGTACATGGATGCAAAAAATAATTCAAACTCAACGAGTGATACGAAAACGAAGATGTAAAATAATTTGGTAGAGGAGAATTAACCTGGTTGTGGATGCATAGCATTGAATATCCCCCATAAGCACATTAGCATATGTCAATACAACCTGGTTGATCTATGTAAATAAGAGCACTAGTGAATATCACATTTGAGAATCTTAACTTGGTAAGGAACATACACACTCCACATATATTTTCCATTTCCCTTTTGTAATTCATCAAAGAATAATCTCCCTTAAGTCGATAAGTAATACTTTGTAGTAATTAACTTACTGCATTGATTAGAGGATCATGTGCCTCCGACACAATGTGAGCCATAATTGTTCCAGAGTCAAATATTGTACCGCCATTATTAGTACCAAATGCTTGTGGATCAATTGGTACTTGTTGGCCATTGACATAAATACTCTGCAGCTCCACATTGTAATTTGGTCTGAAATAGGATGCATGTGTGTGAGACAAATGGTTTCTGAGAAGATTCACAAATCAATCTTATGAATGCATAGTTGCATTAAGCAGTAATTAGTTTATAAACCAACAATAATCATGATATATACGTACATATGCAGACATCTAATTAAATCATCCCTTAAACTTTGAGAAACTCGTAAGTTTTGGTGTGGGGTTGCAATAAGCGTGCAAACTCTAAATAGTGAGTGGGTGCTAACTCAAATTTGAGCTTATAGTTTATTTTATCTACGGCATAAATAAAAACATACCCTCCGACTATTGGCGTGTAAACAATATTTTGCTCCTCAACTTGCCCGAGCACCAATGTACCACCACCGCTTCTTTTCAAGCAATGAGAGAATACCGGAGGCATTACTCCGTTTGCTGAGAGCTGGTTGATGGTAGAGATTTGTTGAACTCCAAGTCCAAATATTCCGTCAATTGGAGCATTCAGACTTTCTGCGCCTTGGCGTTGAGTTGCACATCTGTGATAGATGTTAAAGTAATTTAAATAAATCACTAAAATATAAATCTCTCCGATTAGAAAAAATGGAATTGGAATTTATAGATTTTATATTCAAACTATTTAATACTAAACGTAACAAAGCTTACCCAAAAATAATTTGGGTAGAAGTGTTGATAGCTGATGTTCCACTAGATTTCTCCAAGTGGATGACATCGTACACGTAATCAACCAATGCCCAATAACCTCCCCCATAATGATAATAGTGGGTGTAATGGTTTTGGGCAGAACATCCGGATCCGTCCCCAGTGCAAATTTTGTCGTCTGAGCATGAAATGAATCCGGATGTGGTTGAGGTTGATGGGTCAAAGAATGCTGGTTGAGCCTGCATGGATGTTTATTGAGCGAAAAACATTTTAGCCATTCTAAACTTTCATTCAACTTGAACTTAAAAGGAAAAGACTAAGATGCATTATATATACCTCTAGCAAACTTTCGTGTTGGCAATCTCTACAAGAAGCACAGTTCACCCACAAACCATCACTTCCTGTGTCTATTTGTACACAGAATTCCTTTGGAGGAGATCCCAATTGAATTCGTGTATAGTAAAGCCTACCAACATAACATGGCATATGTTAAAAATAGCCATCAACCTTGATAATGATTAATGTATAAATTAAGTAGTTGAAGATGATTTTTAATCTAACTTGTATTAAAAATGTCCAAGATATTCTTTTACTAACCCGGTGTCAAAGCTTCCTTCAACTGGGAGATTCACTGCACCATTATTACTGTACGGTTGAATGTGTCGTATATTTCTGAGTCGATCATGTTGTTGCAAATGGCTTAGGTTATATTCTTTGCTCATTTCCCTTTCTAAATCAAATCTTAACACCTCTCCATTAGAGAGAAGTGCAGCCACTAATAGTGTCAAGCTCAACAAATGAGTCGAACATAATCCAGCCATGATCCTGCTTGATTCAAAATGGCACAAAATGTAATTTCCTACATTTTAGGATTTAAGCATAGTGCACCAGAAGTCCATAACATAACAAAGTTCATGGTAGCTCTATAATGAGTTCCCGGAAAAGTATATCAAACAATCTACTTCTGATACTTTGCTGGAAACTAATTAAGAATGCAATATTCAATGATGGGAAGTCTTACTCATCTTAAAACTATAGTCATTATTTATTTGAAAATTTATTTTCACTGACCAAATAATGTAATCGCATATAATTAAATTGAAAGTCATCAAATAACAAGTACTCCGTACTTTGCATTAGTAAAAAGAGAAAATTATCCACCATATGACTAAAATTATATGTCTTTCCCAACATATGACTCTATAGTTATTATTCCCAATAAATGACTACTACTTATCAGTTATCATCTCACGTGCATGATCATTTATTCTTCTTTTTTTAATATTTCAGCGGCTGCCCTCTACTAGTATTTATTTGTTCCTATTTAGTCGCCTAACTGATATGCACGTCTCTTCTACTAGTTACCAATTAATTAGGGTGTCTATGAATTAGTATTCCTAAAAATAAGTAGTTTATTTAATATGGTAACCGCTTCCTTAATTATTACGGAGTAGTATGTACTTGTATTTTATATTTTTGGAAACCCACAATCGATTCTCTTCATAATACCTGCGTATTTGTAATTTTAGGTACAAATAAAGTTATTGCCACCTATGCCATATTGCCATTTACTGCCATCTTGCATAATTAATGCCCTATTACACATTTACTTCCTTTTTGTGTTTACTGTCTATTTCATTTATGGAATGCAATGATTTACCATTCCAACGTATATAAATATTTTATTTATTGTCCTTAAGTTACTGACTTACTGCCTATGTCAATATAACTGTCATTACATATTTACTGTCATTTGTAAATTTATGTTCTATTATTGTTATAATTTATTGCCCATTTATTTATTGTTCTCTAATTATTGCCTATGCATACCAGTCAACATCTACTTCCATAATTATTGACGCATGTTTCTCAAACTGTAACTCTTCTCTTTCTCAATGCCTATTTAATTATAAGGGTATTATTGTTATTTCCCTAATTATACCGTCCATGCGTCCATGATTTTAATGATATGTAGTCATACCAAACATACAAAAACATAGTTAGTCATACATTAGGAAAACGGTTGTGTTTTAGTAATATCTACGTATTTAACCCTAGTAAAAAAGTTAGAGTGCAATCAAAATAGTCAGTATATCACATTATAGCATAAAAATAATACAGTATATACTCCCTCCGTCCCAAATTGTTTTGCAAAGTCAACATTTTTTGGTCAACCAATAATAAAAGTCAAACCTTTTTATTGATAACTAATTCAGTTTTTAATAAATAAAATTTACATATTCATAAACTACATTGAAATCTCTTCAAAGTTGTAAACTCCAAATTGGAATATAATTAAAAATTGACATCCCAATTAAGCGAACAAAACGAATCTGTTTGACCAAGAAAAGTCAAAGTTGCAACTCAATTTGGGACGGAGGTAGTAGATCTAATTAGCAGTGTAAATGTTGAAAGATTTCTGTATTCATATCCATATAGTGTATATATAGCTTATTACTTAAAAACTACTGGTTTTACAAATTAAGCGGTTGGTCAAGTTGAATGTTAAAATCTGTGTAGAAGTGTTAAAAACAAAAGTCATATTAAATTTATATAAATAAGATAAAGTTAATCTACAAATAAAACAATATATTATGAATAAAAATATCACAAGAGGACTTGCCTATAGCAATTAGAAACTATATATCTCAGTTCACCGTCATTATATCCCCGACTCAAATTAAATTGATAAAATGGTAAAACCTATTATGTGACAACTTAGCAATATCATCTGAATATTCCTTCTTGAAGCATCTATTTTTACTGTGTCACTGGTTTTTGCATGAAGTTAGATATAGTGCCACATTATTTTAGACAATTAACTGACAATTTATTAATAAATTACCAATTAAATGGCACTATAAGTTCAATATCACATACCCCATTTTTTAGATTAAGGCGCTGCTAATGATGATCACTTAATATTTTATCGTTTAGTTTAAGTGACTACAACGTGCGTAGTTGAGATGATGATGATGTGAAAAGAGAGTGTAGAGTCATCATACATTCATAACGCTCTAGCAAACGGAATACTAAAAAGGCTACCCGGAAATGCACTTGATTTTAGAATTACTGGAGGGCAATTAATATGAGAATGAGACCAAAGGTGATGATATTTCTTTTCTGAAAACATTTGATATTTGTTGTTCCTTTATTTTATACTGGTGCATGTTTTAGTGTGTACAAACAATTGAGCATTTCTTTTTTAGGCACTTCTTCAAAGTACTTCTAATTCCCTTCAAAAGTTCATATGGTTAAATTATCAACTAATTAATTAAAAAAATGTTACATTCTAAAAGCTCACTACTTAACCTTGTTCATACTAATCGATCAGTGCAAGAGTATTAGTTATCCTTGTTTAAAAATCACTCTACTACGTACGTAACCTAAATACGGAGTATAAAATATTAATGTATGGTTTAAAGTTCTTGAAAAAAAAATCCTAGGCGCCATTTGGAACTCATATTAGAACTAGAACATTAGAATCAGGATGACAACATTAACATAAATTAGTCATTTACATGTATATATGTATGACTGAGCGTCTAAAACCAACCCCAAAAAAGTCCTAGCCTGCCGTAATGCAAGCCAGCTATGAGTATCATCTTTCGCACATTAGTTCTTTATCCTTATTTATTTAACACAATCCACAACTTATTTCAGACGTTTGTACTCCGTTCGACCACTATTTTTTGAAGTTTCTTATAGTTTAACAATATAGTCCGTTCGGTCCTTAATTAAGCTTACAATCAACATCATTTCACGGTTTTCAATATTAACCATTGACCACTAACATTTTTTTTCATTCCTTTGACCACTAACATGAAAAAACATACTGATAAAACTTATAATAAACTAAAATTTTAATGATGTACTATGTATATTAAAATGAAGATTTCAAAACTATTTTGGTATTATAAAATAGTTCGATTTTGACCAATTAACGATCAAAATTAGCAAAGTTTGATTCCCAAACTCAACTTAAATACGGAATGGAGGAAGTATAAGGTATTGAAATATATGTAATTCATATATAAGTAAAATAAAGAAAAGAAAGTCAAAAGAGTATATGTGTCGATAGAATTCATTTTAATTAGACTATTTTGTTCAAAAATCAAACTACTAACCCTTTTTTCATTTTCAACAAATTCAGACGATGCATTAACAATACGTTATACGTAGCTCGTAGTAAATGTTGATGAACAAGTAACCTGTTCTTCCTAATCAAAATATAAAAATTAAGGGAGTATGGGCAAACCTATATACTTTGAACCAAACTAATCATCAAACTAGTCATGAAATACGGTGATTTCTGAGAGTAAGGAAAACTGCGGGAGTATGCCTAGGTTTTCTACGGAGGGATTTGGAAAGGGGACTTCCGATTAGGATAGGTTGGGTGGGTGGGGTAGGTTCGTTTGGAGGGGAGGGGGTGGCTAATGTAAAATCTCATTAGGATAGTACTCGTAACTTTTTATTTTTACTCCAAATTTTACAAAAAATACTCTATCCGGTTTTTAATAAATTTCACACTTTCCTTTTTGGGACGGTCTAAAATAAACTTCACACTTCCTTATTTCCTTTTTTGGCAAAGAAATGTACATCAAAACAGTGCCAAACAGTGTCTCTACAGTGTCAAACAGTGTCAAACAGTGCCTCAACAGTGTACTCTACAGTAAAGTCAAATTTCTTCCTTATTTTATGTGAAGTCAAACTGTGAAGATTAAAAAAAAACGAAGATAGTATCAAAATTTATAACTTTTTATTACCATTTTAATCACATCAATATTCCGTATATAAAGTTTAATTTATTTTTTAAAATTTCATGAGTAAAAGGTTTTCGGATCCAATTTTTTCATAAATACATTCAATCGATCAAATTAAGATCTCATTGTTAAAATAACTTTTTACATGTTCCAATTATTTTGAAATTGAGATTTTAATTCTAACTCTTGGGTGTAGTTAAGAAAAATTTCGAATTGGAAAACCTCCAATGGTTGAAATCCCAATTTTAAAAAAATAATTTTATGTGCAATATTGGTGTCATGTGCAATAAAATAAAAAATTATGAATTTTGATATATTTTTGTAAAAACTAGAGTACAAATAAAAAAATTGACATTATTTAAATGAAAAATGGAATTTTACAAAAACGGTGGCCCCTGGCCCCTGCACCCTCCCCCTCCCAGGCTCCAGCCAACCTACCCATCCCCCATCATCCCAATCGGAACAGGGATTCCTGAACCCCTTATTAATATCTACTCAAGAAAAGTCCGGTATTTTGGGCCGGGTAACCATATACTTTAACCGCGTAAAATCGATTTAGACAGACTTTATTAGTGTTCATGAAACAATATAATCTGAAGTTAAAACAATATTGTGTACGCAATATATAATGATGGTGATGATTATCATTATTATTGTCATTAAAATTGAAATAATTATAATAATATTTTAATAACGTACAATAATAATAATAATAATAATAATAATAATAATAATAATAATAATAATAATAATAATAATAATAATAGTGATCATAATAATAAAATAAGAAGAAGAATGATGATAACTTTTACCTAGGGCTTTAAAGTTGACTGGTGTGCGTGGCTGAAGCTCGTGTGTTGAAACTTGAAATTAAAGACTCAATTCAAGGTCGATCGACAAATTAAAGTAGATATGAAGTTTGCTCCTGGGAAATCAGCAACTGCAATTGATGTAGTGGTGGGAAAGAAGAGTACCCAGTGAAGCCTATATATAGTACGACTATGCATGTTTAGTCCGTATAGTATCCATTCACAAATACATCGGACATCAGTGCATAAAGACAAATACATTTCTACTTAATTGTTTAGCTTCATCCATTTCAATTTAGTTGTAATAATCTCACCATGCTTCACACTTTGGTATAACAACTTTGACAATTAATATTTTGAATTGTCTATAGATTGTTTGATACTAGTTTTAAATGATTCAATTTGAAAATGTATATTTGAGACAATTTTAACAATACTTTTTAGTATACTACCTCCATCATGAAAAAGTTTGTCATATTAACTTTTCTTGATCAATATTTGCAAACTTTGAATGATGAATTTAGTAACTATAGTTGTATATAATTTATACATTTTTGTAATTTTATACAAATATTTTGAATTAAGAACATTTTAGTATAATTTCATATTCAAATTAATTTTATATTAAAAAACATCGTTGGTCAAAGTAGATTGTCATTAATTTAGAAAAATCAATTTGGCGAACTTTTTATGAATGGATGGAGTATAATTTTTAAATTAAAATAGATTGTGTGGGTAGTGCAAAACTAATACACACAAACGAAATGTTTCATTTTTAAATGTATTCTTAGTAGACCTGTAAATAAAAACCGGTGTGACCTAAAAAGTCAAGGCATAATTAATTGTTAAAATGTTATGACTTTTTCTTAAAAATTCAATTCTGATAAGTGTACCCATGTTAGGCAACTAAAATGGTAAAACAGACTCACAGACGTGGCGCTTTTGTGTCAGAGGCATAACATGATTTATCTACTTTAATACTAATATAAGAGAGTGGATTTCAATTAAATTTGAATACATCTAGAATGATAGTAATTCAACTAAACGATGTTGCAACTTGCAAAAATAATGTCATCTTAGCGTGATGACAATTTTGAGAATAAAATTTGTTATTTTTAAAGAATAAAAATATCATTTTCATGAAATTTTAGAGAAATGTGATATTTAATACTCGTACATAAGATAACATTTTTATCTGACGATCACAGATGGTCATGCTGGAATGCGGCAAAGACTTCCATATTTTTTTAAGTATTTTTTTATTTTAGAGTTTTTTTTTGTTTTTTTTAATTTTATTACGACAGTATATTTAAAGTCTTTATATTATAAATTAATAAATATTTCATTTTCATAATATTTTTAGCAAAAATAAAATTATAATTTTGTTATTGACAAAAATAAATCTAAGACTTGTTGGGATTATGCATGGGAAGATGGTAAAATAGATCAACGAGAGGCATAAAGTACTTTTTTAGAATAAAAAGATTATACTCCTATTGTTACATTTTAGAGAGCTTACTGTACTTCCATTTAAGGCTAATTTCGGAAAAAAATAGTACGTAGTAGAAAATCTTTAATATATCAATAATTTTGAGATTGAGGGCTTCTTGTATAAATATATATAAGGCTTGATGCTGGATTCTTTTCTCTTTTTTTTTTTTAATTGGAGCACTGCTAGTTTATTTAACAAGATACAACTACATAAAGTAAAAAAAATCGGATTTTAATGGGAGGATGTACCCCATTTTTAACAATGTGAGTCCACTCCTATCTGGATATACTAATTATTGGCAAACCTACTTTATGACTTCTTGTTTCCCTTAATCAATTTTAGTGTATCATATTCCGAACTCATGAGTCCACTGATCCAATTATGGGAAAGCTATCATATTCCGAACTCTATCGCAACGCTTCATATGCATATATATGGGACCGATCATATATTGTTCAGTAAGTTCTAGAATAAATAAGAAAAGACATACTTATTGTGATGTTGTCAAATATTTTATCATTTGATAGAACCTCATGTCTAAACACTTCAGCTCGTTAGTGATTACACTCATGATATTTACTAATTACTTAGAAGTTGTTCTCACTTCTATTCGTCTTAATCTTATTACTTAATCCTTATTCTTATTTTATTCAGATCAGATCATATCAGATCAGAAAAATTCAGATCAAATCAGAGCAGATCAGAAACATTCAGATCAGATCAGACGAGATCAGAATAATTCAGATCAGAAACATTCAGATCAGATCAGACCAGATCAGAATGATTCAGATCAGATCAGAAACATTCATATCAGATCAGATCAGAAAAATTCAAACATAATTTATCACTTTTATTATTATATTAATTATAATTATTACTATTATAATTATTATATTATAATTATTTTTAATAATATTAATAATAATATATTAATATAATAATAAAATCATAATATAATAATAATAATATGAATATTATTATTATATTATCATAATAATATATTAATAATAACAATAATAATAATATAATAATAATAATAATAATAATAATAATAATAATAATAATAATAATAATAATAATAATAATAATAATAATAATAATATAGTAATAATATTAATATTATTATTAATATATAAAAATAATAAGAATAATGTTATTATTATATTATTATAATATTATCATTTTTATAATAAATATAATAATAATAATAATACAATTTATTATAATAATATTGTTATTGTTATAATAAAACAATATAATTATAGTTGTATTTATAATTAAAATTATAATTATTAGTATTATTATTAATATTATTGTTGTTGTTGTTGTAATTATTATTATTATACAAAGTAATTATATTTCTATTTATAATTATAGTTATAATTACAATTATAGAAATAAATATTATAATTATAATTACAATAATAATTATATAATGAATTATAATTAATAATATAATTACATTTATAATTGTATCTATTGTTATAATTAGTTTGATTGGTATAATTATTATAGTTTTAAATTTAATTTTAATTATTTCTATATTTTTTTATAATTATGATTATAATTATAATTTTGTTTAAGTTATATTTGATATTACAATTATATTTATAATAATTATAATTATAGAAATATTCAAATCAAATCAGAAAGATTCAGACAAATTACCCTGCTGTTTATCCCATATTAGTGGCTGAGTTCTTAGCGAATTTGATTATTAAGGAGAATGTTGTGTCTTTCCGAGTCCAGAAGACAAAACTCCTTCTTGACACTGAAGATTTAGGTGTGATTCTCAGTGTTCCCAGTGTTGGCGAATGTGCGTACGATAAAACTAAATGGCCTCTAACTAATGTTTCCCAGGATGTTGCTCTTCAATACTTTGACCCAACCATCACCGGATCCTCTCTTCATGTAGCCAGTCTATCTCCTGTCCGTAAACTATTGTTCTATTTCGTTTACCAAAACTTGGTTCCACGACTTGAAGGTCGTTCCTCCCCTTCTAGAGTTGAGGTAGCCTACATGTACCTTCTGGCGAATAAGATTCCGATAAACCTTCCTGGCTTGATGGTAGCACATCTAAGTTTTATCATAAGCAACTCGTCCCGAAAAAATGGCATTCCCTACGCACCATTCTTCACCAAAATCATCCAATCTAAACAAATCTCTCTAGATGGTTTCTGTTCTGAGGATGAAAATAAAATCATGGATAAGCGGGGTCTTGGAAATCTGGGACTTGTTATCAAAAACTCTAAACTACTTCCCAAAGAATCTGCTCCTTCATCATCTGAGCAAAAACCAAAGTCTGGACCTACTCCTGTTCCTTCCAGTGACCCAATGATGGTTGTTCCTCCAATCACAGACCACATTAATCTTTTGGAGCGCTCCCTCAAGCTACAATTCGACTCCCTCTCAGAATCCATCGCTGCACTGGCCCGGAAGGTTGACGCTCTGGCAGAATCAAAAGCGAATTTCAAGAAGGAAGTCTTGCAGCAATTGGAAGAACCCGACGTTGCTCACCGGGAGATTGTTCCCTCCTCGGATGATGAGGATGCTTGAAAAAACTATGTAGTACTGTTTTGGGCCGGTCTTAACTATTTTGCTCGTATTTTCTTTTACTATTTGCTGATACTTCCAACTGTGTTGTGGCACTATTTTGATTGCTTCCTGTTTCCTTTTGGTTGATGCCAAAAGGGGGAACACAATCAGGTGCCTATAGTGTGACTCAAACTGCTTCCATTAAGCTTCTATTATCTGCTCTATTTTGTTTGGCATAACTTTCACTTTTGCAGGACATTGAGATAAGGCGCCTATATGGTTTGTCATCAACAAAAAGGGGAATTTGTTGACTAACTAGTTTTGTTGATGACAAACCATATTAGAACAAGGGGAGGAACTATTCTGATTTTAACCATGCAGGTTGCTGGGCTACGGTTCACTAGTGTCTGCATGCATGCTTGTGACACTATGCGAATATGGCCTATATGGAAATATTACCTTATGTGAAAGCACTTTTAATTGTCCCGTCATTTGAAGTCAGACATTGTACTGATTGTGTAATCGCATAAACTTACCTTAGTGAAAGATAGTATTTCACAAAATCCTCCCAAATTACTTCCTAAATGACAATTAAATTTCTTCCCAATCTTTGAAAAACAAAATCTTCCCAAAACGACTTCTTTAATTTTCTTATTTAATAAAACTATATAATCAATCACTATTTCTTTCTGAACGAGTTTTAATATACTTTGCTAAAAACACAATTGTTCGTCATATTGGAGAAATAAGGTATGTTTTGAATGGGCCCTGTTCTTCTTAAAAATAGGTGAAATCATTATATAAAAACTAACTATTAAAATTAATTCCACTTTTAATTATAAAATAATTAAGAACCGTTGTGGAACCGCATTACACGATTCCTTCCTTTTTCGATTTGTAGAACAACTTTTTTCCCTTAAATAACATACGATTAGTGGTGGATCTACTTTGTTCGTAGTGGAGTACATTTCCGTAAAAACATTTGCTTTAAGAGCATCTCCAATGCTATAACGTGCACGGTGTACACATGGCATGAGAGATGACCACATACATATTAGTACATAAATTCTTTGTCTCCTTATTTAAATGATTTTATATAGTTTTGGTAT